GAACACTTTTTTAGTTTAGTAATTCTTTAAATAAACACATGTCCAATAATAAATTCTGTTTGTTTTTTTATACTATTTCTCTTTAAACGATATTCCTTACAACGTTAGTCAAAATTCGTTTGATATTCATTTAAATAAAATTGAAATTTTTACGTTATCGTATAAGAAACTCGTTCACTAGAAAATCTACAATATCTTTTCTTGTCTGAACGTTTGTCTGTATAAAAAAATGTTAGTTTTTGTGTAAAAAAAACATGCACACTAATTGCTCAAAATGAAAAAAATGAGGATAAATGAGTGTAACGAACACCAGCGAGATTGATTAGTGCGGGTGGACTTGACCAAATATCTGTTGACGCGGGAGCGATGGCGACACCACGCATATATTTCTTGAGCGTGAGGGACGTGGTGTGCGTGCTCGCATGAATTTCTGGCGGTACGCGTTATACGCAGTTTCTACGTGCGCTCGAAGAAAGGAACGGACCAGAGAGCGAACGCAGCGTTGTTATGGCTACGACGGAGAGTCGCGGTCACGGCTCTCTGCCGGGCCTCTCCGTTCTGACGGACCCATTCTGAGGAGCACCAATTTCGTCCCTCCCATCTCAAAACGCTTGAGAAATATATATACAGTTTACCATTTTAGCTGATTAGTAATTAGTTTAAGTTAATTAAATATTTTGGGATATATATCTTCTAGGAAAACTAATTTTACGAACATTTTGTTGAGAAAAATAAAAAAAGTACGTCACGTATATAAAAGATAATATAGTTCTATAAGAAAGATATTCTCCGTAAAAATTATTATAAAAAATTATATATTAAAATTTGGGAAATGATACAACATATGTAGGTATATAAGATAAATGTTTTAGTGATTGAATTATTAAGAAGTCATGATCAGTTAGGTATTAATTATTATTGATTATTAATGTAGTGGCATCTCTCTCATAAAAAGAATTAATGTTCATGTAAAACTTGTCAGTAATTGAAAACTATCGATATTATCATATAAATTTAAAAAAAAAGCAGAAGAAATTTCATTGATAGTGCATTAACCCAATTTTTAATAAAATAAATTTTCAAAATTTAATTTTCAGTTTTTCTACAATCAAAAAACATACTGCATGTTTGAATAAATACAGTACAATATTTTGAAAATATATTGCAAAAATTAAAAAAATGTCAGAGATACTATGTTTTATTCAAGATGGTAAGAAAATTAATAAAATTATAAATGTCTCTTCTACGAAATTTGAAGAGAATATTTTTCGCAATAATTTGCAAGAAAAAATTATATATATTTTATTATTTATTTTGATGTAAGTATTTAATAGCTTTCTAATTTACTATTATTGACAAATAATAATTATGTACAAATATATTATCAATTTTTCAATCGTTGGCATATTCAGTTATTGGGATATTTATTACTATTATATTTATTGATATTATTTATATTAATTATAATTCAAATGTATGTCTTTTTATAAATAAAAAATTATATTAAATAGTATCTTAAGACCGCAAATGTAAATATACCCTGAGTAACGAGAACTTTGTCGATCTGAGCTGAATCTTAGTGCTTAAATATTTTTATAAGAATTTATATACATATCCAATTTTACAAATTGGAAATGTACATAATGCGCTAAAATTATTTTTTCTTGAAATGCAACTTCTTATGTTGTTTTGATGTTTTTCCTAATTATATTAATTGTGTGTGTGCGTGCGGACTAATATATTTTAAAAATAATTTAATGTTTCCTTATTCATGTAATTTATAAATATACTGTTATTATTTACGTAATGTTAAGTTGTGAGTTTAATTAGATGCGGTCTCTGATTTTTCGTATTGTAAAGTAAATCCGACGGATTTCATGCGTCGCTTCGAGAATTTTGCTCTCGATCTCGACGTCTCGATCGAGAGATTAAGCTTACGTTGCCTGATCTTATCGTAATTTGCGGCCCCTGTTATGTCAATAAACGGCTGAACACGCGTCCAGCATTATCTATGCGTGACTCCATCAACGTTTTTTTCTCTACGTCTCACCCACCGCTTTTCTTCCGAGTGTATCATTTACCAATGAACCTCACGCGTAACATAACAACCCCAGTGTTACGTATAGAGCTGCCAGACCTTATCTCCCTATTCATAATCGTCACAAAGGACGTCAACACGATGCAGACATTAATTAGATAAGCATACGAGCATTAGATAATCTCCCGAGAGAAAAGAGAACGAGCAATGCTACCTCTCCGAAGAATGTCTGACAATTATATCATCGCTCGATTAATATATCGAGTATAGTAAATGCTTCTATGATTATGATATGGTAAATGTTTCTATACTAAGTAAAACGTAAAAATTTGTACATAAAATAATCTAATTAAACTATGAGAAGAAAACTACAAAGAAAAATACCTCATTTTAATGTTTCCTCAAATACTAAGTTTAGTAATAAATTCTTTTGTAATGTAATCCTTATCACAATTTATATATGTATTCGTATTTACTGATACGTATAATAATATTCCAAACAATATAATTTTCGCAGTCATTATAAAACATAAAATTATTTTTAATAATTTAGATTAAAAATAATTTTATAATATCAACTTTTTTAACTCTTTAAAAATAGAATTCCTCCCCCCTAGTTATATTACTTTTAAACTTTGTGTGTGGGTGTGTGTATTTATGATACTCTTGGTTTACATTTTATATAAAAATAGAAAGAAGTTTTGTTTAAAATATAATCGAAAAGTCCTCTTAAAGCTTCTAAGCTCGTTATCGCAGCTATACTGAATCAGCGATATGTAAATTTTTGTTAAGTGCTAATTGTAAATAAAGACAATTTGAATAAAACAAAATGATGAAATCATTTTAAAACATTTGTAAAATAAAAGAACTATACATATTATCCTTAACTGTCAGTAAATAATCGTAAAAAAGTAATGAAAGGCACGCGAAGTGTTTTCATTCAATGCGCATGCGTAGCCTATTTTCACTTACACGTGCCTTTTATCTCTTTTTAAAATTATTTACTGACTGTCAGGTGGGATAAGCATAGTTTTGTCTATGTTTACAAATGTTTTAAAGCGATTTCATTATTTCATTTTATTCATTGTCTTTATTTACAAATACGTATTATAATAAAAATTAACATGTCATTCAGTTTCTCGCTTCTGACTTGTGATTTAACGGATCCCTATTCAAAGGTCTTAATGTGGAATGACTTATGATTTCCTGGGGCAATTTGGGACAAAAGAACACATGTGCAGAATTGAGGATACTTGTTGATTTCTAAGGAAAAAGAATAGGCAGACCCTTAAGAAATGTCCTTTTTGTTACGTAAAAATATATTTTTTTCATTATTATGTAAAAAATATCAAAAACAGAACAGGAAGTTGTCTGAAAGTCTTAGTATAGCTCTGTAACAGTAATCGTAAGACTATTAGGAATTAGCTAATTTAGAATGGTCAAGAATGGTCAAAAATTTTCTGCTCTGATTAATTCCTACAATACGATTATTGTATGGCATATGAATGGACGTCCATGTCATATGGTTGTCATATCTTTTTTTTTTGTACAATATTGTCCTTTTGTATGGTCATTTAAAGAATTTTGAAGGACTTTCCAAAGGTGCATTAAAAAAAATGGTCCGGTTGAATTAAATAGTAATTCTGGTGAAAAATGGACACAAAAAATATCACGGTTGCCACAACCGAAAATAATAATAATTTTCGCCCATCAATATATTTGGTTGTGATAAGCATAAAATGGATATATCTTTACAGCCATAATCATTCCAATCTTGTGGTTATCACACTCGTACTATAGTTTTTATATCCAAAAAAAATGTATTGATGGATGACTTTTGATCGTGGCAAACGTAGCCATTTTTTTCATGGACGAATCAGAATTCTCTGGTTAAATCTATTAGAATTCTAGTTGAGGTAACTAGAATTCTGATTGATATAATTATTCTGATAAAAATAAGAATATTAGTAAATTTTACCAGAAATATTATATCACCTAGAATTCCGATTATCTCAACTAGGATTCAAATAAATTTAATCAAATAATTTTAATTTATTAAAAGAAAACAATAAGATTGGAAACAAAACCGTTTATGTTAAATAACATTATTTTAAATACGAAGCGCTACTACGATCTGAATGTTGAGATGTTGAACTAATATATATTCATATAAATGAATTAATTTCGGAAATGATAATTACGTGCCGATATGGTTGTCGGACTTTCAACGCAATCAATTTGAAATATTAATAATCCTCCCAAATTTCCTAAATTAATCTTAAAAAAACTGTAATAAACTTATTGCGAAAAATATTGCCTCGGCCAGGAGTCGAATCCGGATCTCGTGCGAACGTCCTGAGTCTTTAGACTACCGAGACGAAAACTCTGATTTGCCCATTTTCAACACACCAACAACAGAAATTTTTTTCAATGTTCAAATAATTACCGTTTATAATTATTCCCCTCGAGGAAATATATAATTATTCCCTTCGGACCTTTATGGAAGTCTTAACAAAGAAAAAAAGACGTCCGAAAAAAACAAATAGCAATCCTAATTACGAAAGGGAACACTGCAACTGACCAGTATAAACAAAAACAATTTTATATATTCGTTAGTCTGGTTAATTCTTGATGCACAAAAGGAGAATTAAATTAAGAAATTATCAGGCAAAAGATAGTCAAACATAGTTAGTTGGGCGCATTTAAATCTATTATTATAATCAATTACAAATTTATTTATTAACTGCGTCCGATTCTCATTTTCCCGACATGTATTTCTTTATCTACTTATTTTTAATAAGTCTTTCAAAAGAAATATTTGTACAAAAGGAAAAAAATCGAATTAAGCAGTTCTATGTAATCATCCGCGCGTATTAAAATATATTTGCAATTTAAGTGTTCTCTTTTAATTTTGAACATTTTTAAAGATTTGTATAAATTTATTAATATACAAAAGACTCACGTTCTCGTTTGTGGCGTACGATCACGCTGTCGACGATTCTTGAACCAATTGGACACCTGAGTCAGCGTCAGGCCAGTTTTCTTCGCGAGATTCTTCTTCTCGTCCGGCGTAGGATATCGGTTCCTCATATAACTCTCTTTCAAAGCGTTCCTCGATCGCTCCTTGAAGCAGTACACGGTCTCCTCGCCGTCCCAGATCGTCTTTGGTAGTGGATACTTCTTGCGCAGCCGATACTTGTCCACGGCGCCCAATGGTCGACCGCGGATTTTTTCAGCTTCGCGATAATGCGACTTAAACCACATCTGTTGGAGTTCAGGATGTCGACGTGGCGAGAAAGGGTGGCTCTCCAGGATTGAGTAAAGCTCGTGATAGGCTCCGCGGTGAAAGGCAACAGCGGCACGCGCCATTAGCACACTCTCGCCTCCGCGCAACAGTTCTCCAGGCGGTAAGGACCAAAGAAATCTGGTATCAACGTAGGTTTTTTTTTTAAGTAGATTTTACACAAATATAATTTTGTATAATTTTAGAATTTTATAACGCAAGAACAGAATTTGTTAAAAATCTTACGCACATAATTTTTGAATAAATAAATAATGAATTAAAGCACGCTCTCTTTAAAATTACCTGGATAATTTCTCAATGTCTTGACTTTGCGACAGTGCCTCGCACATGCAAGATATCTGTTCAGGTGTGAAATTACTGCTGCTAAGGGGGAGACTGCTGATATTACTAATGTTGGTGTTTACGCTGGCAGAGTTGCAGGTCGAAATCTCCTGCGAATACTGAGGACTGCCATTCGATGTTGGCGTTAAATTTTGGGGATGATGAGTCAGCCCGAGACCGGACATTGACGATGCGTTACTATATTGCGCAGTTGCATTGCGATGCACGACGCCCATTTGACTATTACAGTCGCTGTTCGGTGATGACAGCTGATCTGAACTATCCGACATCCTTGGCTGGTGACTGCGTGCCTCTCATGAATCCATGCAGGTGTCGGACAGCAAACAAGATTCCGTGCTCATTCGCCGGTCCTAAGCGCGAAATATTTTTGAAGATGTGATTCCTTATTAAAATTAATTCAAAGATCACGCATCTTGAATTACAAACCGAATTACGAATTGCTAAATATAAAAATTAATAACTCGTTACGCAACTTGTCTTAATTATACGCGAAAAATTTACATTTAAATAAATTTAATTTTGAGCATAATATATTTAATTTATTTTATTATATAGATATTTCATCTTCAATAAATGTTTGTTCGTTGCTTATACATTCTTACCTCTGAATTTTCTATCGCCTGCAGAATTTTTATCGTGAAATTGTTAGTTTGGGAAAATTAAAGCCAATGAGGAACTTATTTTCCCGCTTTTGCCATTCGGCAAATTGGAACACGGTCGTAGTATCAATATGTCTTATAGATCGACCGGATGAATAACTGATGACGAAAGTAAGCATCCGTTATTCGCACGTTCGAGTCAACGCGACGGTTGTTTAATCACGCGCGTTTCATTCATGTCGATGCCCGACTCCATTTCCATTCATCAAGACTTACTCAAATGAAGCTGTAACATACTTCAAGTCACTGTTTTAAAAATTGTTCGCAAATTTTAATTATGAAAAAAAAAAATTTTTTTTCTAAGTACAATCACTGTACACTTTCACCGATACATTCGATGGTCTGTACACTTTATCGCAGAAGAATAGCTCGAATTCGTAATTATTTTTTAATCATTCTGGTGACTATTATTCAGTTTTTAATATAATTTTTTTTTTAAATATTTGCTTAAACAAATATAATTCTATAAATAAAAATCACTTGTTCTTTAAGAATAATTTCAAAAATTTCCTTCACGTATATAATTTATTTATTTGTTCTCCAAAATCGTGTTTGATTACCGCGTTGTAAGCAAATAACTTTGAACTTGAGTTCCGACGGCGTCTGAAATCAAGTTTAAATTCTTTAATGTCGGCGTCTGTTCGTAATAAATTATGTAATGGAATACTTCTCACATCCACAATAATTCTCCGAGAAGGCTTTTCCAAAAAAGATACCAATTATCAGTTCGTTTATTCGCCATCAGGTACACATTCTTTAAATACCACTGCCTGAGTTCTTAATCTTTGTGACTAACCACTTTGTGATTAACGATAGATCATCCGTAGCGAAAGCATCGAATGCACTATAAGGAAAGAAAGAATGTATTTGTACGTTCTTCTTAAACACATCACAGCGTGGTACCAATGCACTGACAGATCCTTGAGATTATTTGTAGCCTCAAGTGTCCCGCAATCATCCCCGTTTTTATGCTGGAGAACAGTGATATTATGAAGCAACCAACAGGCAATCGCGCGAACAAACAACCGATTACATAACCGATACTCCTCGGGAGGATGCCTTTGACCGCGGCAGACTATCTCACTGAGTGACCAAGTCACCAAGTTAGTAAGGTGATCACGGTCGTCGCGTTCGCGGTGCGATAGCCGTCGTCCCGCTGGCAATTCCGTCGTTGAATTGTGGTCGTGCGGCCGCCTTGTGGCAATGCTGACGATGGAGTTGCCGATATCGTTCTATCTCTCTCTTTCCCGTTCTCTTCTTCTTCCATCTCTCTCTCTCTTCTCTCCTTTTCCCTCCTTGATCTCTTGGTCGGCCTTCTCTTTTATTTCGGCAGTAGAATCGCGCAATGATTAGGTACGGTACGGCCACTACGCTGCGATTGGTCGTCGCGACGTACAGCTCGACTCCATTGGTTGGAAAATTAGAGGGCGGTGCGAAACTTCTACCCCCGACTACTAGTTCACCCCATCCGAGTCGCCGCCGGCCCCGCGACGCTTCTGATTCCTCCGCGCTGGATTCTCACCTGGCGACCTCCGTGACAGACCGATTACCTGGATATATCGAATTTCGACGATTCCTTTCTCGAGTCGGACTCGCGTAATTTCTTTTGTTATGTAACTGAAGTGACGAATTATGGTATTGTGTATCGGGCTTTCCCCTTGGTCTCACACTCCAGTCTCGATTATATATTTGCTTTCTCATGTTGAATAGCCTTAATAAAACTCGTATATTTCTACAAATGTAATTATATTCTTGAAATGATAGTTGAAAATAAATCTATTAATCGGTAAAAACTTGCTTTTTCATTATTTTGCTCGTTTTGTAAAATTTACTTTAAGTTTAAAATAAAAATTTGAAGAAGAAGTGTAGATAGCAAAAATTTGCTTATCAAAGATTTGATTTTATTTATATCTTTATTGCGTCGCTTCCAATTTACATTATTCAGCAATTTTTGTGCAAATTTTTCGCGCAGATACTGTTTTCCACTATCGCGAAGCTATCGAAGAATCACGAAATACGCGTGTAACCAATAAACACCGGAAATGGAACGTGTCAACGTTACTGTACACCATGTTGTGATTCCACGCGACGCTATCGCACCTTGTGTTTGATTAATTTCACAACAACTGGCAATTCACCCTTCGTCGGTAGATTTGACGAAAGGAAATCCGTCATAAATTTGTTTATGAATTATTTAAACGCGTCACATTTTGGACAATTTAATACGCAATGCTCGATATAAGACGCATGATAATACATAAAACTTGAAGATATAACTTTACAATTTTTGCGGCACAATTTGCATCTCTGTAATAAAATAAAAAATATATATATATTTTAATACAATATATATTGAAATGTAAATAAATTATATAAAACAATTGTCGAGTTTTACATCGTGTATTTATTACATCGTGTTAAAATGTACATTTCTTACAGTAATTTATTATATTAATTTTTGTTTTAGATTTTGGAATAATATCGACAGACTTTCGATGTGACGGAAGATTGAAAAGTTGATGTGACGATTGAAGAAGGCAGATATCACTTTTTTAAAGTGTTTACTTTTCACGATAAGATTTCCACCCCCTCGCGAAGGTCGCCGGCTCATCTCTGGAGTCGTATTATGATACACATTTCTGCAAATATGATCCAACGACAAACGTAACTTTAGCTGCAGATCGGTCCGAATACGAACTCGTACACGCCCAAGGATCGGTTTCGTTCATTCACGACCATCGCGTATATCGTTTATCGTTGCGTATCTTGTACACATGTATTTTGATCGTTTACCTCCATTCCATAAATTGAATGAAATCTTACATCACCTCTTATAGCATGCATGATTTAATTAATTGAATCAACTGTTGTCAGATATATTATATTTTCAAGAACTCGTCGTTGAACATGATATATACGCGTATGGTACTTAGGTGTTTTAGAAGTAAAATATTTTACTTCTAAAATACAAATAAAAATAATTTAGTAAACATATCAAATTTTTTAAAAATAATTTATCTGCATCATAATTATTTTAAACGAATTTTTTATTTAACGATCGCGTACATCGTTTATCGTTATGTACACATGTAACAATCGTTTATCTTCATTTCATAAATTAAACGAAATCTTACGTCACGCGTTATTATGCATAATTTAATTGAACCTGTAATAAAATATTTGAAAATTATTTGATTTTATTATATTATATTAAAGCCATTTTTTGCTAATTCTAAGTAAAATACATGTTTTCATGTTATTATAATTTTGAAATTGTATTCTTTTTCTTCTACTTTTGGTTTAAATATTGCTTATTTATGCTTACTATAACTTAAAATATCCTCTAAAATACATACTATAGAGAGATATATAAGATATAATAATATAAATCTCTCTCTTCTTTGTTTTTCTCACACAAAAATATATTGATATTATGACATCCTAAATTTGTCTTGTTATCGCTTTTATTTGATTTAATCAAAAGATTTATTAAAAGCAATAGCAACATAAATTTAGAATGTCACGTGACGAAAATCTGGTGGTCGGAAGTCTGGCGGTGTTGTATAGATCAAGAGAACCGATGCATCGCTAGTAGATGAGTGAAGACGTTTTTCCTCGGCACGCCTTGCCAATCCTTTGAATCTGCTCCGCCTTTTTCAACTAATTGCCATTTGTCATGTATGTTGATCGATGTAGCGTAACATATTTTGGAACGGTAAAAGATGCTCAGATTTTAAATAACAAATTTATTCAAAATAAAAACTGAGATAATTTAATTATAAAAGGGAAATATTTTGTTACTAATTCAATACGTCAGTAACGCTTAAAATTCTCTTTATATTTTGCAATTAATTTTGGATTCGCTATTTATTTTTTAAATAAGTTCTACTTGTTACAATAGTATTAATTAAGCTACACAATCTTTTAATTAATATCACTTTGCAATCAAGAAAAGGAATTTCTAGACGTATGAAGCGCAAGGAAAATTATGAAAATTATTCCGATTTGATTACGCTCGAGCTTATAGATTCGAGGATGACATCGTGCCGAAGCCAAGACCCAATGATAAAGGGGCGGCGCCGCGCTTTGCGATGGCGTCTCCTTCGATTTGGTGTCGGATTTCCCTCTGGGCCGCCATTTTCTCTCCTCCTCTCTGTCTCTCTCACCCTCTTCGTACATCCTCCTGTTCCCGACCCTTGGGATAGGGATGATGCTCTTCCTTATCAAAACGAACCTGGGGACAACCGATTTCATCATCCCTCCTTCATTCCTGTTAAATCTAAAGACGTCCTCGACAATCCGATATTCGCTTGAGTGTCTACATCGTTTACAGGCAATTGGTCCTCAAAAATAAATTGACTTAAGTTGTAAATTCGATTGTATTTATTAAATTCCGAAGAAAGCTGAAAAGAAGAAAGAAAGAAGAAAGTTTAAGCTGAAAAATGCTTTCTTCTCTGAAATATATACATGTAAATATTATATGTAATTAAAATAATACTACTTACTAGAAATTATGTTGATTTAGATATAAAACATCTCTTATTAAATCTATCATCAATTATTTCAACATCTGTAATTTAAATTTATTTATTTTAATATATTTATAAGCGTTACATATAATTATTATGTCTACTTTTTTAATAAGTCTGATTTAATATATTATACAAACTTATATTATAATTTTAGTCTTATATAATTACATATAAATTATTACATATAAATTTATTTTGCAATCTATAAAAATTTTTTATGCATTAACTGATTCTTTCAATATAAAGTGCGTTTGCATGTATAACGCTGCTCACAAAAGTTGTAAAACAAGTATTTATTTGTCATAAGCGTATTTAGTGTCAGTACGACAGTACGATAGGAAGTACTCCGACGAAGTAATTCTCGAATTAAATCTGCTTGGTATACGATGAAAGTGCTTTGAAGCAATGAAACGCATTTCGCCTAGACGAGGCGTGAATTCACTTTGCGCCTTGTCAGAACTCGTCCGTTCGGAAAGCACCCTGTTTGTTGTATCTGGGCACATCAAGGCATTCGAGTACGAGCCAAAGAGCACCGGCAGGTACTATGCGGGAGGAGGAGCAAGGGAGGAAAGCGAAGGGGGTTGCGGAGAAGGGAAGCAATAGCAGCAGTAGCAGCAGCAGCAGCAGCAGCAACAGCGGCGGTGGCGGCGGCGGCGGCGGTAGCGGCGGCGACGGCGGCGGCGGCGGCGGCATCGTGTTTCACTGTACTGCGTTTAATTGCATTCCAAAATGGCTCTGTGCAAAATCCTCTCCCCCTTCCCTCGCCCACCACTCTCGCAATCCTCCTCCTCTAGTCGGGCACAGACGGCGAGGCATCTTCAGCA